GAATGGTCCCAGGTTCCCCCAGCCAGGCCAGTAATTTAGTTACCAAGCTGGGAAAAGCGGGCTCCTTACCTGCCTCTGAACCACACTGGGGTGGGGGCTGTGATCACAGAGAGACCCTGAAAGCACCAGAGCCCCCCAGGCAAAGCACAGAGCCAGGGAAGTGGTGTCCTGTATTTCCAGCCCCCTATCAGCAGGGTGAGCTCCCCCCACACTGGGGTTCTCTACTTTCCGGATAATCCCAGCTTTTACTGTAGTTCCTTTCACCCCCAAGGACCTCATAGACAATGCACAGCACACGCAGTCCCATGGAGATGCAGACACCTCTGGAGAAAGCACATCAGCCGGACACAGGGGAAATGTTAGCCAAGGTTTGGCCAATGTACATGGCAGAGGGGCACTGCTGGCACATGATGGCATATATCACATTAGTAGATGGGCAGGTGAATGAGTCCCTGATGGTGTGGCTCATGTGGCTGGGTCCTCTGATGGTGTTGCTAGAGTAGATATGGGGACAGAGTAGGCAACAAGGGTTGTTACAGGGATTGGTTCCTGGGTTAGTGTTTCTGTGGTGTGGTGTGTAGTTTACGGTTTGGCCAATGTACATACCAGCCAGTCTCTACGTAAAAGAATAAATAGACACAAATCAGACATCAGGAATAGTAACAAACAAAAGCCAGTAGGAGAACACTTCAATTCTATAACAGATTTAAAAGTAGCCATACTTCAACAAAAAAAGCTTCAAAAACAGACTTCAAAGAGCGACAAAGAGTCCTGTGGCACCTTATAGACTAACAGACGTATTGGAGCATAAGCTTTCGTGGGTGAATACCCACTTCGTCAGACGCATCTTTTTACAGATCCAGACTAACAGGGCTACCCCTCTGATACCAGACTTCAAAGAGAAACTGCAGAACTAAAATTCATTTGCAAATTTAACACCATTAATTTGGGCTTTAATAGAGACTGGGAATGGCTGGCTCACTACAAAATCAACTTTCCCACTCTTGGTATTGACACCTCCTCATCAATTATTGGGAGTGGGCCACATTCACCCTGATTGAATTGGCCCTGTCAATGCTGGTTCTCCACTTATAAGGTAACTCCCTTCTCTTCATGTACAAAAATACCTGCATCTGTAATTTTCACTCCATGCATCTGAAGAAGTGGGGTTTTTACCCACGAAAGCTTATGCCCAAATAAATCTGTTAGTCTTTAGTCCGGACTCATTGTTTTTGTGGATAAAGACTAACATGGCTACCCCCTGATACTTGACACCCACTTAGCTGCTCCTAGCCCAGCCCCTCAACACTTCCTCAGCTCTTCCTCGGGCTCTCTGCCCCAGGGACCGCTCCCCCTCAGCTCCTCTCCCCACAACCCCTGCCCCAGGGACTGCTCCCCCTCCGCTCCCCCCCCAGATCCCTCCCCCCCCCCCCCCCCCCACCCCCCCCCCCCCCCTAGAACCCCCCCCCGGGGGCCCCACGCTCCCCTCCCCACCTCAGGGGACATGCTCACGACCCCTCCCCCCACTCTTTGCCCTGGGCTGGTTGAGTCGCCTGCGTCCGTCCTCCCCGCTGCAGTTAGAACCCAACGGCCGGACTGGGCCACGCGCACTCCTTCTCCAGGCACCGTTCGAATCCCCATTCTCACTCCCCATTGGTAAAGAGTGGACACGCCCCTAGTTACCCGATTGGTAGGAGCGGGGCAAGACCCGCCTCTTAGAGCAGCTAGGCCACTCACCCCAGCTCCTGATTGGAGGAGTCCGTCCTTTTCCGCCTAGTTTTCCCGAGGGGGGGTTCCACCTCCGTTGCTCCCGATTGGCTGGCTGCCTGGGGGGCGGGGCCTGCGCCGCGAGCAGGGCGTCGGTGCGGAACTCCGGCCCCCGCCCTCCTGCAATGGCACTCCCTGGAGCCAGAGGCTCGCGGGTCACGCCGCAGGCAGACGGGGCGGGACTGCTGCCAGCCCACGGGAGTTTGCAGCGCGAGCGCCCAGCCCCGGCGTGACCCGGGCCCGCCGTGTAACAGGCTGGGACTCACGCGGGTCCCAGTTCCAACGGAGGGGGAGAGCAAGGCAGCACAGAGCTGGGAGAGAACCCAGGAGTCTGGGCTCCCAGCCCCGCCTCCTGCTCTAACCCACCTGACCCCACTCCCCTCCCAGGGCCAGAAAGCGAGCCCAGGAGTCCTGGCTCCTAGTCCCCGGCTCTCAGGCAGGGCTCTAGCTACCCAGCTCCGTGGGCAGTGCCCAAAGCCCCAGCGAGGTCTTTGCCCTGCACACGCCACACTGCCGTGTGCCCGGTTACATGGCTGCTCTCTGGCTGCTGGGCTGAGTCACTGGAAAGTCCCTCCATGCCCAGGCTGGAGCTGACACCCTGCCCCGGCTCGCTGCCCGAGGCTCCTACGCCGCCCTCTGCCGGTTTCTGAGAAATCACCCGGGCATGGGGGGAACATCTGGAGCCGGTCACGAGGGTGGAAGGAGCGTGACCCCACTGGAGGGACCAAATAGCCCAAGTTTATAAGGACAGGCCCGCGATTCGGGGCTTTGTCTGACCCTATCACCCCTGCCTGCCCCTTGGCCCAAGTTTTCACACTTGCTATCTGGTCACCCTGCCTGCCAACGACTCACACAACCCACTGCGGGGTGTTCAGCAGCTGGGCCAGAGCGAGAGAACCCCACACTGCCCAGTGCGGGCCATGCAGCAATCTCAGGCCCTCAGCCCCATGGCACTGACCCCACCCGACCCCTAGTGTGTTATCCACCCCCTGGGAAGCCCCGGCCCCTTGACCCCTCCCCCCCCACTCCTGGCCCATTTCCTGGGCTATGCGCCCTATTTGTCCCTGGTGTAAATCCAGCTGGTGATCTGGGGCAGCAGGGAGAGGAGAGACCCAGCTAGATGGGCCTGTTAGGCTGGGCCAGGTCATAGTGGGGGGGTAGGGGGATACCAAGCCAGACGGGTGTAAGGGTCTGACTAGGGTTGCCAACACTCCTGGATTTTCCTGGAGTCTCCAGGAATTAAAGATTAATCTTTCAGTAAAGATGAAACCTCCAGGAATATGTCCAACCAAAATTGGCAACCCTAGGTCTGATGTAAGGAGGCCAGGGACACTGGGTTAGACAAGCCAATGGGTCTGATCCAGCGTGGTGTGGATGGGCCCCAGGTCATACCAGGGTGGCTGGGGCAGGGCTGGAAATTGAGCCCAGGGCTCCAGAGTCTTAGTCCGGTGCCTTAATCACAATTCAACTTTCCTGTTGTGCTTTGCAGGAGGGGTGGGATGAAATTAACAAAGGGAACCCAAGGCTGGGGGGGGTCTGTGAGCTGGGGATCCCTCCACAGGGGAAGGGCTGGGGATGGTGGGAGTCAGGGGAATCCTCTCTCCAAGGGAAGGGCTGTGAGCCCCCAGGACCAGCACTGCCTCCCCCCCAACACACCCCAGTCATTTAAAACCCCCCTCCCAGAATCCCCCCCAGGCGTGGACACATGGTAGTTGTGACGTGGATACACACAGACACTTTGCACAGCATTCCAGCACTGCGGCTCTTTTACTTACCAAAGCCCAGAGAGGACAGAGCAGATAGAAACCACAGTCAATTGTGACCCCCATGGGGCAGGGCCCCTCTCTTTGGTCAGTGTTTGGGCAGCACCAGCACAACGCCGGTCTGGGCCAGGACGAGTTTTTAAATCACTTAAGAAATGCAGAGTCGTAGCAGAAGAGGAGAGCCCCAGTCGGCCATTCCCTCACCTGTGCCAGAGGGGGACAAGCCCACATCCGTCAGCAGCTCCTGCTCCACGGACACGAGCTCAGAACTAGCTCTGACATTGTGAGCCTCAGTGGCTCAGCTCTGACCAGCTTTGGGATTTTTTATTTGACCCACAAAATCCGTGCAATAGCTCCAAGCTGAACTCGATCAGAGTACAGAGACGTGTCCTGACCATCACAAGCTGGGGGTCAGTCTGTCCCACGGAGAAGGGGTGCGATCCCACAGCACCCCACTTGCCCCAGCCTTTGCCTGCTTGTCTGACTCTGGACGATGGCTGGGGACGGCCTCGCAGATTCTCACAGGCCGAGGAATTGTCAGACCCAGAGTAACCAGCGATCGGGGCCCATCTCCAGTCACTGCTGGGCTCCCTTCTCCCCTCATGGGGACCACCCCCCGCACCCATAATGCACTGGGGCATCTGGGCCCTGTACCCAGGATTTATTCACTGGCTACCGGAGCAAAGGGGCCTGAAACACAAGCAGAGAATGAGGATCAGTGCAGGGAAGCAGGGTGACCCCTCCCCCATGGTGACCCTGAACCCCTGGACATGGGGCTCCCCACAATCCCGACTGCATCGCGCTCAGGCCAGCCCCACCCCAATGCCCCCCCAAAGCAGGGCACATGGCACCCAGCCAATGAGAGAGTCCACTCTGCCCCCAGTAGGGCCGGGCTACGGTGATCAGACCTGCTCCATGCCCTGCCCCACCTGTCCTGGGGGGCGGTAGGAGGAGCCATCCCCCCTTGGGCTGGCTGGGCCACCCCACTCCCCAGACCCTCCCCACATCCTGGCTCTGTGGGGATCGGCTCTTACCTGCTGATTTTCTCTTCCACAGGATGACGCTGGCCCCTACGGCTCCAGCCAGAGCCAGGACGATGGCGGCCACAGCCCCAGGAGGCAGGGTGCCCTTCTTCCCAGGGGCTGTGGGATGAAAAAGGGCACAGGTCACCGAGGGGAGGAACCGCTGGGGCATCCTCCTGGGGCACCCACAGGCCTTTGCCTTGAACAGCTCCCCAAGGGCCTCTGCAGGGACCTGGCCTCTGGGGGAGGGGAAAGGCTGAGCCGGGCGGTGACGGGGATGGGGCATGGAGGGCGGGCGCTCTGCTGAGCACTGCCAGACACACACGCCACACAGCAACCAAGACCTTCCCTCCTAACGACATCAGCCTGTGGAACTCACTGTCACTGGATGCCACCATGGCCAGAAACTTAATGAGATTCTTTGAGGGATTAGCCATTTCTGTGGGTCACACGAATACCTAGAGCTAGAGTTCACACTGACAATGGGCAGGGATATTGACCTTCCTGCAGCAGGGCTGCACCCCATCTCTGTAATTCCCATGGGCTGTGTCCCCTGCCCCATGCCCTGCCATTCACCTCACCCTCACCCCAAACGAGCGTGGGCTCCGGCAGGCTGCTGTGCTCCACCCGGCAGGCATAGCGGTGCCCGTCCTCCTGTTGTGGGGAGATCTCCAGGGACGACTGCCTGTAGTAGGTGCTGTCAGCATAGGGCAGGATCCCGCTGGAGTCCATCTCCGCCAGGATGTCTTCTCCGTCCCGCACCCAGGAGATGTGGATGGGACGCGGGTAAAAGCCCCTGGCATGGCAGGAGAGGGTGATGGAGCCATCAGGGGAGTCTCTGCGGAAAGCTGAGACGATGGGGGGCACTGGAGGGAGACAGTGTGTGTGAGCCACATGCCAGGGGCTGGGACCATGTAAAAGACAAGAGATAAAGGCCCCGCAGCATGTCAAGTATTCAGGTGAGTGAGAGACCTGGTCTGCACTCGTTTATACTGATTTGTAACTGGAGCTAGTTAACCTGGTGTAAATACCCTCTGCAAACTCAGTCAAACTGGTCACATCGGTGTAGCTGAACTGGAAGTTTCCAGCAGAGGCCTGGGCCCGGGTATCCTTCGCAGTACACTATCCCACACTGTAACACAGCCATGCCCAGGCAAGTTGTCACTGGGCCACCCAAACACGCGTGTGCGATTTATGGGGCTAAGAGCCCAATTTCCAAACTCCCCTCAGTGCCTAACCCCAGTGATTTCATGGGGAGTCAGGTGCCTCTGTTTGGAAATCTCAGCCGGCCCCATCTGCATCGTCAGGTGCTTAAATCCCTTTGTCCCACGGCCTCGAGTCCCTGTCCCCATCCATGTCTCTGCCCTCGACTGTGGAGGTGCCAGCACTGGGCACAAGAAGCTCAAAACAACTTTTTTTTTTGTATAATGACAACGTGTATCCCTCTCCCCCGCCCCGCCTCTTTCACACTCACAAAGGGCTGGGCCTTTTGCGGCTCAAATATGCCGAAACAATCAACTCACAGTCCAGAGCTGGGACATTTCAGCCTGAAAAGGGAAGTCTGAGGGAGCTGGAAGCCAACGGGAAAGGCCCTGCAGAATGGAGACGCCCAGGCAGCCAGAACCAGCTAATAACCTGTCTGTGCTAATAACAACCCATTTCTCTCATCTAGCGCTTGTCATCGGTCAATCTCAAACTCTTTACAAAGGAGAGTGGTGTCATTATCTCCATTATCCAGATGGGGAAATTGAGGCACAGAAAGGAGGACTGACTGGACCTATGTCACCCAGCAGGACAGTGGCAGAGCCAGGTGTCCTGAGTCCCAGGCCAATTGCACTATCCACTAGGTCACAATGTCCTTTGTGAATGTGTCCAAGTCCCATTGCTGTCAATGTGCCCCAGAGCCCACTCCCTATGACAGATCCCTGCTGCTCACTCACCCTGCTGCTCCAGCACTCCCATTCCATGCTGCAACAGGATCCGCAGGGTCCCCATGCACTCGTGCTGAAGGCACCACTGGACGTACTGAGTCCAGGTCTTGCCTGTCTCCCAGAGCTGCTTCTGGAGGAAGGCCGGCTGCACGGCCGCGACCCAAGTTCCCGTCTGGTTGTCAAAGCTGATGAAGTCCCCCCCGTCATAGGCGTATTGGAACCTTGGGTCCACAGGGGCCTGGTTGCTCAGGGCACAGCCTACATGAATCTGCTCAGTGTGAACACCTGCAGGGGAGGGAGAGAGCTCGGACCGTGCACTGAAATCTGGGAAATGTCTCTGGGTGGGTGGGGTCAGAAGGGCGTTCAGCCGGACCAGTGGCATCGTCACATTACCATCTCTAACAGCATGGCACGCCTTGTGCCAAGCAAGTGAACCGTTCCAGAAGGAAGTTGATAAACTGGAGAGGGTTCAGAGAAGAGCCACAAGAAGGATGAAAGGGCTGGAAACATGCTTGACAGTTACCGAGCTCCGGGAGTCTCTCCACTGATGGAACCAGCTGTTTCCACAAAATTGTAATTTTTGGTGAGAAAATTTCAGTTTTGCCAGAAAGCATTGATTTTCTGTTGGGGAAATTGAAAGGGAAGATCCCGGGGCTGCCCGGCTCCCTGCCTGGGATTCTCCCGAGATGGAATTTCTGAAAAATTTCCTTCTCGCGGACACCTCCCATTTCCGACTTCCCTTCCAATCGGGAATGAAAACACTCCCGGGAATAACACATTTTCTGTGGGAAGAAAGCTCCATTTTCCAGCCAGCTGTGGTTTGGGCAGCACCTAGCACAGAGAGGCCCCGATCCCCAGTGGGTGTGATTCTGAGCAGGCAGCTCTCTCGTGCCCATTAATAACAATAACTCTCAGACACTCACCGCCCGTCTGATTGTGCTGCTGCATCAACCTCCTCATACCCCCTTTAGAATCCTCATCATATGTCCAGAACTCCTGGGTCTTATTCTGGAAAAACTCAGCGCCCAAGGCCTGTGCAGCCCACTCCTTGGTGGTTCTAACTTCTCGTGTGTCACTGCTGTAGTACAGGATCTTAATGTCATCCAGCTGGGCGATCATGAAGTAGTGATGGGCCCAGTCTTTGTCAATGACTATTGTGACTAGCACGGCCAGGCTGTGGCGTCCTAAAGCAATAGGAGAGAGGCTGAGTTAACGAGCAACTTCCCTCCCTTGCTCAGGGGACACCAGGGTCACCCAGTGGGGACCAGCAGAGACCTCCCACCCCCAGTCACGTCCCCCAGCCCTCAGCCCCATCCTGGGCGAGGGACAAGCTGGGGTCTGTCAGTAACTCACACTGCGCGGAGCTGCGGGGGAATCAGGAAGGACGATCTCTCAGCCTGCGCCTCTGAAAGCCGGTGGCTTGTTTACGGGGGTCAGACATTGATAGGGGGTCCATTGCCACTTTAAGAACTCCCCCCTCCTCAATGGGCAAATGCCCTGAGGATGGGAGGGGTGGATGGTCAAACTGCTTACAGCAGAACCTGGGGCGTTTGTGGTGTGTGTGCATATCTATGGTGTGTGGTGAGCATGTGCGGTCTGCATGTGTATGGGGGGGAGGGTATGCAGCAAGTGGGGTGTGTGCGTGTGATATCTGCATGTAGGTACATGTGTGGTCTGTGTGTGTACATGTGTGTGCTGGGGTGTATGCATGTGGGGTGTGTAAGGCACTTTGTTTTCAGTTTTAACTGACTTTTTACTGAAAAATTCCCGTTTTTTACAGAAGCTGTTACTTGGTTTTTATTGATTTTCACCCCAATTTTGGCTCACTCAGGTACAAGGAAATACTGATTATAGTAAGAAAATCCAACCTGTGACAGAAGGTCCATGTGTTTGTGTTAATAATGAATTAGTCTAAGTGTCAATGCGAGGCTGTCTGTTAAAATAAGACAATGGAGAGGAACTTACGCGCGCGCGCGCACACACACGTGTACATACTGTTAAATGCAGTTCATGAAATAAACCACAACATTAGATTCCTTTGACTTTCAATAATTACACTTTTCCCTCTTTGTTGCTTTTTTTCTGTCCTCCCGTCCCCCAATATTAACCCTGATCTTGACCCAGGAAACTGGTCAGTTAATATCTGGTACTGGTTTTCACCCACTTTTTTAATTTTTGTAATTAACACTGATAAATTCCCAGGAAAATTTAAACAAAATAAAATTTGAAGACAAAGAACCTTGGGTGTGTGGGATGCATGTGTGCACACGCCCCTTCCCAGGAACTGAACAGGGCAGTTCTGCAGGAATGTGGGGTTCTCAGGGGGCCAATCAAGCAGCCCCCCCCCCTTTTGTGCCAGAGACAGGGGATAACAACAAGCCCCCCACCCTGCAGGGGAAGCAGCTGCCAGAGTCTGCCACAGGACACAGCCTGGGGCGGGGAGACGGTTGGCTGGGACAGGCTGTGGCAATATAGGTTGCTTTTTTTAACTTGCACCTCCTCTCCCTGGTTTGACATCACTCCTAGGGGCTGCGGGGGCAGTTCTTGGGCTGGTGTGTTGGGGATTTCTGGCAGAGCCCCCAAAGAAAGACAGGAGGGCTGTGGGGGCTCAGCCCTTGGAGGAGATGGAGCCGAGGGACTGGAGGGTCGTAGATTTCAAGGCCAGAAGGGACCATTCCTTATCTGTATGAGGGCAGCACCCAGAACCCCTGCCATGGCCCAGAACCCGGCTGCGCCAGGGCTATACAAACACAGAACAAAGAGACTGTCCTGGCCCCGAGGAGCTCACGTCCCATCTGAGCTCCTGCACAGCTGCCCCGTGGGTGTCACCCACCATCCCCACGCCCAGCTGGAGTGGGGCCATTAGAAAGAGCTGTCCGGTCTGTTACAGTGAGACCCCCAGCCAGGGGGTCACCCTGCACCTCCCAGTCCCCCTCATACTCACCGCCAGCCATGGTTGGAGCCAGGAGCCCCCCACAGAGCGCCAGGAGCAGCCCCCAGGACATGGCTCCTGGGCTGGGGGGAGGCTCAGCCAGGGGCACGGACCCCCAGCCACTGTCACTATCACTTTCCAAAGTGTCGCAGCTACCTGCTACCGTCCAATCAGGATGCAGGCAGAGGCCTTTCGTCATCGGTATCGGGGCAGAACTGGCTGTGCAAGGTTAAGGCGCAGACCCCATGACAGCAGAGTCCTGCCCCTTGCGCTGGGTGGGTGTGAAGAGCCAGGGGCAGCACTGCGCTGCTGGACTGGGCGGGGGCTGCGGGGCCTGGCTGCAGAGAGCAGGGGCTCTGGACCCATGTGTATAGTGGGGGTGCTGAGAGCCACTGAACCAAACTGTGAACCCTGTGTGTGATGGAAACCACTTCAAGCTGGGGAGTGGGGGGGGGGGGCGCGGCAGCCCCCTGCCCCCCTAGTTCCAGCACCTCTGGCCGAGAGGAGCCCAGGGAGCTGGGCTGGGGCAGGACGCCGGGGCGTGGGAACCAGGGCGGGCACCGAGCGCGGCTGGCGCAATGTTGGCACAAGAGAAGGGGAACCACATGTCCCTCAACTGAAACCGGGACACGTGGGGCTGGCCCGGGCTGCCTGGCGTCGCTCTGCTCGCCCCCTCCCCAAATCTCCCTCTGCGCCCCCAATTGAGCCAAGTAGCAGAGATGAGGCCAGGGAAGAGGGATGGGGCTGGGATCTAGGCAGCCAAGCTGGGGGCGAGTGGGTGAGCACTTTTGGGCTGGGAGCCAGGAGGTGAAGCTATCGGACTGATCCAGCTGGCGGGGCCGGGAGAACAGAGGGGCAGGAAGAAGGCTCCAGAGAGCAGCCCTGGGGGTCAGGGGAGGCTGGGATGGTGGCAGAAGCAGGCAACTAGAGGCTGGACTGGGGAAGGAAAGAGGCAGGTTGGGGCTGAGGGGCTGGAGAGGGCTTTGAGGACCAGCCCCAAAGGACAGGGGTGGGGAGGAAACGAGGCCAGGGTGGGGGTCACAAGGTCAGGGAGGAGGTTGTGGGGACAGGAAGCTTGGGTGGACTTTGGAACAGAAAGCACGAGGCCCGGAGGGGGGCTGTGGGGCAGGGTGAGGGCTAAGGAGCAGGAGGTACAAGATCGGAGGGTGCTTGGGGACAGGAACCACAAGGCCAGGGTGAGGAGCTGTGGGGCCTGCTCAGAGGCAGGGGGCACAAGGCCAGAAGGGTTGTGGGGGGAGGTATGCCACACTCAGTGTCCTGGCACGGGTGGGCACTTCCCAGCCAGGTGCATGGTAGGGCCCGGGGCCTACGAGTCACGGCTTTTCATAGCATCCAGAGCAGAGTTTGAATTAGGGCCCAGTGTATTCTGAGTTTTTTTGTTTTAAATCTCCTCTCTCTGTAGGGTCAGGGCTGGCCCCAGCTGGAGATGGGACCCTGGGCGGGGAGGGACGGGCTCTGAGGGGGCACCCAGCATCAGGGCCGGCTCTAGGCACCAGCCCTCCAAGCACGTGCTTGGGGCGGCACTTGCTAAGAGGCGGCACTCCGGCCCCCCTTTTTTATTTTTATTTTTT